CGCCCCCACCCCTCAACCCCCTTAACCCCACTTACTAACCCCCCTCTCTTTCCCCCTGGTGTCACACAGCTGAGGCTGTCATACAACATTTATTTTTTAACTTCTCAACCTCCTAGAGATTTAAGTCCAGGGATTGCTATATGACCTGTCATATTATACCTGGTACATAGTAACTGTGATCAGTTTTACTGCAGTGAATTAGGTGTATCATGTCCCTGGTCAGCCCACATATTATATCTGGTACATGGTAACTGTGATCAGTTTTACTGTAGTGGATTAGGTGTATCATGTCCCTGGTCAGCCCACATATTATACCTGGTACATGGTAACTGTGATCAGTTTTACTGCAGTGGATTAGGTCTATCACGTCCCTGGTCAGCCCACGTGTTATTAGATCCAGTTTTCTTCATTACCTGGAAGGAGAATTGATTACTTCTGAAATCAAGTGTATTGGACCACAATCCTCAGACAGATGTGCCACTGTATTTGTGATGTATGTTAATTGCCCACTCAATTTGAACAATACTTTTTTCTTTGTGTTTGTGTATGTGTATGGGTGGGGTGTTTGAAAAAGTTCTGAAATGAGAGTCAGGATCTGACAAAAAAAAAAAATCCAAAGTAGGAACATATTACATGTTTAAAATGTTATTAACAATAAGATGTCAAATCAAACCGTTGTCGTGTTGTCGAAGAAACTGGAGACAGGTGCTTGTGGGCGAGGACTTAAGTCTGAGGTGGTCCTCCTGCATGCTGTCTCATTGTGCAGTGATGTGTCATCAGAGACACAGATATCAAGGTGGCAAATAGATTCTAACAGCCATGTTAACATAGAAGGGCACCCACACACAGCGAGAGGTTGACAAGGGCTTGACAGATATTAGCACAGAAAGGGAAATTAGCAGACATCTATGATGCTTGCATACATATGGGCACACACATGCATACACGAAGGCAAACACACACATGCAAGCATGCACATGAGTACTTTCCTGCAAACACTTTCCAATGGAGGCACATGCAGACACGCACAAAAACACAAACACCGTCAGAAGCAGATAGACCGAGGAAACAGTCAGCAGACAAAAACCAACACAGATATAGTCGGTGAGTAAATAGTTGCTCCTGAAGACAGAAAGGAATTTCAAAAGACAGCCATCACTCATAATGACAGTTTACCTGGTAGATTATGGCTATGATTACCAGATCTGGAGCCAGCAATTTCAAAGGGAGGGGGGTTGGTTTCTGAAAAAGTGGACCCTTTATGCTGAAACCTTTGTGTACCTATATCCAATTTTTATTCAGAGTGGCAAAAATGGGATTCATCCCCCCCCCCCCCAAAAAACCCCTGCCTACAGGTCTGATTACTGAGATAAACTAGAAAAATGCACCTTAGTAATCAGTCTTATTCTGCACTTTCAGCAAAACACTTCATTAGGCACTTGATGTGTAAGGATCCCAAGAAACGGCTGACGTGCAAGGAGGCCATTGCTCACCCCTGGTACATTCACACTTTTCTCCATCTCTCTCTCTCTCTCTATCTCTCTCTCTCTCTGTCTCTCTCTTAATCTCTTCTCAGGTTCCTGTATTTTTTGAGATATATTTGTGATATCATGTATGAATTGATATTTATTATAAAGCATGTTTTGGCCATGATATTTTAGCCAGCAGAAAGCTGTGTTGATAGAAAATAAATAAGATGTGAGAAACCAATCAGTCACATTACTTGTCTTTTAAGTCAGCCCTTCCACTTTCTGACTTGTAATGCCTCAGTCAGAGGTTCAATCAAATCTGTAACTTAGAAGTCCCTTATAGACTTCAAAACAGCGTTTAAAAGCATCTCGCTTCACAGTGCACACCTAATACTGTTAATATGGTTAGAGGGATGCTGTTATGAGAAAAAATATTCAGTGAATTTATCTGCCTTTTGGAGTTAAGAAGTCAGTAGGAAAATCAATAGTTTTCAAAGGTTTTATCGCTTGATCATAAAAGCATGACATGAAATCAATAGTATTAAAAGATACTGATAAGCTCTTTGACTGCCATCTGTAGAGTTCGTGCACTTTTTAAAAGGGTTAATTTTACTTAGAAAGCCGTTTTTTGGATGAAGTAGATTTTTAGCAAAATAGAAATTTCCTAATTTCCTCATTGAGTTAATTGAGTTACATATATACTTTGATATCTGCTTTTGAACCACTGAGGTGTGTCTCTCTCTCTCTCGCTCTCATTCTCCCTGTGTGTGTGTGTGTGTGTGTGTGTGTGTATGTGTGTGAGAGAGAGAGAGAGAGAGAGAGAGAGAGAGATTTATACCTCCACCTGCTTTATCTGAATTAGTCAAAGAGATACCTTGGTTTTATTCATATAATTCAAGTTAATGAAGCACTTTCTGCTCTTCCCTTTCAACCCAGGATCTCTGGAGGTGCTGCTCTAGACAAGGATATCCATGCATCTGTCAGTGAACAGATCAAGAAGACATTTGCAAAACAAAAATGGAGGGTAAGCTGATGGTGACTTTGTCTTCTGTCCATTGTCGCTCACAGTCTGGGATCAAGAGTAACAGACATGTATTTGATGCAGGCAGATTTAATGACCAGATTTTTATACTTGTTGATGAAAGTGAGCTGGCAGATTAAGTGTTTAGGTTAAATGTAAACCTGAAATAAGATCAGAGACTTGCGAGATTTGGTCCACAACCTGATCTTCTTTGCTCTCTCAGACTACCATGCATACACACACATACAAACTTATACACACAAGCTCGTACATGCGCACACATATACACACATGCACACACCTTGACCAATGCCGTAACTTTAGTGATAAACAAACACAATGTTTCTATATGCATCGGAAGATTTCTGATTCTAATGGTACTTTTTTACATTCCAGCAAGCCTATAACGCCACCGCAGTTATACGTCAAATGCGTAAACTAGCCATGCACAACAAGGAGAGCGAAACGGGATGAGAAGAGAAACCGAGCAGCTAGATCAGTTCCACCTTGTTGTAACCCAGGTTTGATAGGGTGATGCATTTAGGACCTCCTTCAGCTAGACATCGAAGACAAAAAGGAGTTAGACCCCATTTCTTTGACATCCAACCTATATATTGTGTATTGTGAATTTCATAAAACTCGTACGTCTGGAATGGAATGAACTTTTGCATTCTTCCTTGGCATTGGTCAGTGGAGATTATGGAGAGATGATGACGCGCAGACCTCTTGACCAATAATTGGTGGATAGAGAACGAGGTTGATTTTGTTTGCCTGATAAATTCACAGGCTGTTTTCTATATTATAATGGTAGTGGTAGGCCCTGGGAGAGATTATGGTCAGATTGGTTGGTAGGTAGGCATCTTAAAACGATTTGTGGCAGGTTACATGTTCTGAATACTGGAATTAATGAAGTATGACTTGTGACCTTTTTTTACAGGAATGATGGCTGCATGTGTAAAAGATTGTATCTGTAGGAATTATGATATTAGTACAGACACCTGTAAAAGCTCTGAAGTTTTTAATTAATAAATAATAATACTTCTAATTTCTTTTAATACCATTCTGAATATAATGAGATTTACTTACAGATACTGCTACTTCTCAGTTCTTGATCTGTCTATCAGCTAAAAAAAAACAGCTTTGTTAAAGTATGCTGTTGTCTGCATTTTAAAGGCATTGAAAATGACATTGATGTACATATAGCAGTTATAAGTCAGTTTTTCTTTTAATTTTTGTAAGTTTTAATTCATATCTTTGTGAGACATACTCAAATGCAGAATTTTTTCTGCGTCCTGATCTGGTGAACTAAAAGTGTTTTAAAGCTAACCCCAGGAAGTAGATCTTTTGATTGCAAGCACCTATGACAAAATCCCTGAATTAGTAATATGCACTTGGATTGGGTGAATTGAAGAATTACATACTCACTTTTTTAAAATAAAAAAATCTGATGGTTTCTTGAAGTATTCTGGAAAAGTTACCATCGTTTCTTATTTTTTTTATTACCCAGAATTCAGGGATGCAGATTTTTCAACTATCAGCTTTTTTTCCTCACTTTTTGGGAGCCAAAAATATCATTGGCCTAGGCAGGCCCCTGGACTCCACGCCATATATTCCAATTTTTTCACTAAATGGCAGTCTCATTCCTGACAGTTGTTTTCATACACATATTCCATGCTTTGCTCCAGACAAAGAATTGCAAACAAACAATCTTCTTCCTGAAGTATGTCTTAAAACAGAATAAGTGAGAAACAGTTCTGCATGAGAGCTTGGATCTCAGACTTGTGTCTTCTTTAATAGGTTTAAATGAATATGGTTAGTACTTAATTTAAGGTTCAGCAAAGTTCCAGCTTATCTTCCAGTCAACAAAATCCAAAGCGTTTTGACTGACAAAAAAAGTTGCTATATCTTCAGTTGCAATTTCAGTTGTCTTGCCATTTGTAATGAATACTACTATGAAATGTGTTTTAGACTTAGTCAGTTACTTTTAAGATGAGGGTGGATTTTATCCCTGCTTGTAGTGGAGTTTTCATTATACCTTGCTTTTACCTAGTATATTAATATAATAATTATTATTATCATTGATCCTTTTTAATCTGTCTGTCTGATGCAGCAGTCATTTGTGTGGCGGAGTATATGTAAGAGATGGACACAGCAAGGACTGATGTTATAATATCATGTTGTATCTGTTGACAAACCCTAACATTCCACTGTCAGGAAGCTTTTTGACACTTGTCAAGTACATATATATCATTTTTTGTTATCAGCTTTGTGGAATTTTTGATTAAAAACTGCTAGAGATTTTTTTCAAAGATTTGATCAAAAACTGTAGAGATTTTTTTCAAAGCTTGTTGAGCCCTGGGCACAAATGAAAAACCGAGTGACATTGTCCTTGTAGATCAGATTCCGTTAAAGGAAAATTCTAGAAATCATTTGATACAAATGATTCAGAGATCTGTGTTCTGTGTTTGTAGCAATTTCCTGACCCTTTTTTTGTACAGTATTCTATATTTTAAGTGTCAACTTCACTGCAAGTGTTCCTTGTTTTATGATGTCTCCAGAACAAAGGTGATGTACCAACAGTGGATGTTGTACTTAATTTTTTTTTTTTTTTTG